AGTGGGGTGTCAAGCCGCCCAAGATCAGCATCAATCTTATCAAGGTGCTTATCACGGGACACACTTCTTACGCGAAGCTTGTCTGCTCATGTCGCCATTTTGGCGCTGGCCATGACGTTGACGCTGATGCATCCAATCACTGACTGGAAGCGAGCGCTAACGACAAGTGGCGGCTGGTTCCCGCGCCCCTCACCTTGGATCGGCTCTAGCCAAACAACGGACGCGGATCGGCTTGCGCGTCCCGTCATGTTACCCCGCAGTAGGCTGTAGCTGTACGGGGGGTGGGGTAGGCTTGACTACACCGATGCACGGAAGCAACAATCAAGCTAAGGGGGTTCGTGGTGCAGTACGATTGTCAAGACAACTTCTCAGGGCAAGTTCTGGGGTATTGCGAGCGTGGGTGCTGTAATGGCAATGAACGCGCGAACGAACATCCTCCATCGTAGGCCTATCCGCAGACTGCCTGATGGTGACACCAGAATCTTCTGACCGGTGTCATGAATCACGTTGGCAACGTGTTGCTGACTGGACAAGCTGATGCAGACCAGAGAAAAACGTCGAGCGTCGCAATGGTGGACAACAGGAGTACGTTGCATCCCAACAATGCTCCAACATTTTTGTTTTCTTGCAGTACTCAAGAAAGCCTGACCCACATACTACGGGGACACAAGGCAGACCGATACGGTAGAGTAGAGCGAAGCGAATCCGGTGAACCCCTGCGCTAGCCGAAAAAGATCATTCTCACAGGTGCTTATTGCAAAGACTGCATGGGGAATAGTGCAATAAAGTGGGCCACAAAAGATACGCCCACACTATCGGCAATCACACAACGTCATCGGAACGCTGCAAGTACGCGGCACAAACTGATGAGCTTTCTTTTTCTACGCTAGTATCAGCTGGACACCGATCAACGTTGAGAAGAAGCACAGATTTCGAGACAGCGGGCGCGGTGGCTCGCAACGGCTGCAGCCAAGCATGCTGGCATGTGTATCGTAAGACTCGCAGCATGCATGATTATGCAGACATGTAGCACGGGATTTGTGGAATATGTTGCTTGCCGCTGACTCCAGTCTCCTACATAGCATGTATTCAACCGTTCGATTTTTTTTCATCTTTCTGTTTCTGTCTCTAAGATTCAGACTTGCCAACAGATATGAAGGGATGATAGGAACACGAATTTCTCGCGGTACCGATATTAGGCTATTCTTGATCACATGAGTCTCCGATGTCATTTATATCATGCTGTGCGACGATAACGGTTCACTGCAGTCCAATCAGCAAGGGACATGAGTCCTGACTTGTAATTGGCACCATGACATGAGTCACATCTCACCCTGCGTAATCGCTATACATATCATGCATACATGCATTAACTTGGCACGCTTGCTGATAAATACACATGTCTGATTAGCCTGATGGCATTTATTGTAGATGGCGAGGATCCAACCGAAACATGAGTCTGCGAACAAGATATGCCATACGTAGAGCGGCCGCCTTATGGTGGTGATCTGAAAGCGGATCATGTTTTTTGTCCACCTCATATAGGGGCGACTTAGCTTCTACAAGAATTCTACTGGAGGCGCCAGGGTCGTGGTTGCATTTTCGTTGTGTTGAGCGTCGCGGTAAGCTGGGTGGGCAATTTACCGGTGTAGGCCCCTTATTGGTGCAACATGTTGGTCTGTCGCCGGACATCAATCCGCCACTCTTCCCCTCGCAGACAGACGCGGGGAAGGCTGAGTTCAAGAGACCTGGCATGCTGGCTTTCACACTGTTGCGAGCAAGAATCCCCAGATATATGGAATATGATATTTGGTGAGTGAGTCAATCTGGAAAGAGAAATCCTACGCTACGGCTGCTAACGAAGACCAAGTTGACAACACAACCTAACTTGCGATACCTACCTTGAGCCTTCCGTTTGCTTTTTGTTGACATCACCTCATCCCATGCGGAGGTCAAAATGGCGGATGCAGCAGGAAGAATCAATACGCTTCAGGTCCGCTGCCCTTGTGGTAAAAGCTTCAAGAATGCGAAGATGTACTTGGAGCATAAATGGCTGTGTGAAATCCATCTGAAAGCGAGAGATACCATTTCCTTGACTTCAAATTCCAGTCGAAGTGTCGCTACGATATCCACTGGAGCCTCGATTCCAGCTTCGACGCCAAGACCTGTAGCCTCTGTAGCCTATAGGTATGGCAGCACACTCCAAAATCACGAGCAACTTCAAGAACACGGATGCTACTGTGCACCTTACACACAACAGATGAATGAGCGTCTAGCTGCATTACATCCAGTCCAGGATCCAGAACTAAAACCGGGCGCAGATTGGTCATTGGCGGCAGGAAGAAACCCCATTCCTCCAGTAGAAGCTGCAACACGGAAGCTGCTGTGCTCTTGTGAACAAAGCTTCACGAACGAGAGCAGGCTGGAAGAGCATTTGCGGTATTCGGAGACTCGTCAGGCAGGAAAGTCTGGATCTGGAGCTACACCCAAAGGCACAACGCCGGTTTTAGCGCCATTCACGGCTCCGTATCCCTCTCCGACTTCAACTTGTTCGCCTTCAAAGCCAGTACCAGGCATTGTCCCATCTTCAGTGCTCCCTATAACTTCGCCGGTCTTCTGCACCTACGACTATGCCTTGGAAACTCAACGAGTCTTAGGGCTACACAAGCGTAGCTATTTACACTACAGTCAACACGCCGACGAATCGCTCACTCAAAGCCAACGAAGCAGCTCTCTAGTCTCCTCCTTCGCTTCCCTCGACTTGAAGCCTGTTTTGATGCAGGCCGAACCTTTGGAAGCTAGGTTTACCTGTATGTGCGGTTGCACATACACCACTCAGGAAGGCCTTGAACAGCATAAAAAGGAAAAGAGACGTTCTGTATGGCCCAAGGAAGGGGCAAGGAAGGAGAAGCTATTCAAAACGCCGCGGCCGAAGTATCAACAGGATGCATACTTGCGAGAAATATGTGAGGCCCTTGCACAGCAGAATTGTGATGAAAAGTAGTGAAGGGAAACTCCCGGTAAGCAAAGGTCCATAGATGGGAAACACCTATAGTAATATGCAGCTCTATACTGAGATGTTTATGCGATCGCACAGGGCTTGTTCTGGAGCCTACGAGCAGATGATTCGCCTGTTGCACGACAATGGCGCAGTCGCATGCAAACGGGCTTGTTCTAAGTCTCCGTAGCGAATTTCAATGCAGACCATCCACCAGCGAAGATCCAAAAAATGCACGTAAGATACACGAATACTTGCACAAAAAGCGAGTTCTGGTCTAGAGGAAGGTTTCGCCTCGGGCCACTATTGTTGTGAAAGAGATTTTGGCCTGTGGTTGGTTGTTGATGTACGTGCAGGCTGCAGAACATAAGTCTCTGAGGTCGTATCCGGTATGCAATCGGGGAGGGGTATCGCGGCGCAATGTGAGATGTTGGAGTTGCCCGCATGGTTTGGGTCCGGCATGCCACCATGGGTGATAGTGCCATTGTGAGCAGTCGTGGTCCGTGGCCCGTCTTTGACGTTGTGTCGAGCTACCTTTCTCTCACACACAGGGCACTCGCTTCGGGCTCGAATTTGACACTGCAAGGTAGATGCGTTGCTCAGCGAGGATCCGGACGAAGAGAAGATGCCCAACCAGTCTGTGCGCCCCTACCAATCGTCCCTTTGTCTGCCGCTGGTGGTCTTTGAAAGCGTCCTTCTTTGTTTATCGCTTCGGTATGCGCAATTACGGTTGCATGTTGAAGACGACCAGGGCGACAAGGGCTTGACGGGTTACAGGCGACGACATGACGAGATGGCGAGAGGAGTCTGACGAAGCTCTGACATCGGAAAAGACGAGCGCGGGGCGGAACGAGCGAGCGCAAGGAGGGGTAGGCGGAGCGCAGAGCGCGGACGCAAGGTGATGTTAAGGGCGAAGACGAGGAGGTAAGGGCCACAGGCAAAGTGCGACAGCGAGGCCAAGAAGAAAGTGACGAGGTTGCGGTAAGCCAGCGGAAAATTGGGGAGGGGTGGGTAGCAAGCTGGGGCCAACCGCGTCGCCCAAACAGCCAGGCTCCACCAAGCTCTGCGCAGGAGAAATCACGCCAACGATTGCTTTGTCAATCGCAAGACCAATAATCATCGTTGCCAGCCAAGAATGTGCCTTCGGTAATTAAAGAGGAGAATGGCAACTATGCTGCGATTTTGCAGGCGTGGGTGCGGAGACACCTTTCATCGCAGTCGGGTTGGACCAAGATAATGTTGGCAAATAGCACCGAGCGGGACCTAGATCGGCTGCGGTAAATCTGGAAATCGCGCCACGCTACTACGTTCTCCACTAATCGACGCACACGTCGCCAAGTAGCATGTCGCTGACGCGAACCTCCAAATGTTTACTTCTTCGCGCAACGTGATTTATCACCTGTCGATTCTGTTGATGCATCGAAAAGCGCGCAGAGTCATACCACTGTGTTCGCAACACTGTTACCAGCAGTCGGCTGCGCAGAACTTTGAGCGCAACGCACATCCGTGTACAGAATGAGGTGCATGCGGCTCTTATGATGCATCCTCCACGAGTAATCGCTGACGCGTCCGCATAGTTCCTCGGATCTGCCTGGTATGCGCCCGCTTGAGCCTGACTGCTCCTATCCATTGTACCGACTGGGTAATCGTATGTCTTTCTGCTAATCACTGCTGGAAGATCCACCACTAGTAAACAATGGCACGGCCGCAGTGCGACTAGCCCCTCATACAAAACCTTCATGGTTCGGTTTCGGAAGAGACCAACATCGAGCTATCTCTGCCCAGGAAGGGCGTGCTCAGTACAGCTTCGAAGAACTCAGGTTGGCAGATTACGAACGGGGACACGCGCCATCTGCCAGGCGAAGAGATTATGGTTCAGCAGTGCTCTCCGCTCAGCCCTTACAAAAATTACGACGAACTGATGACAAAAAGCATAACAGCCATCTTAAGCTGTGTGTGCCCCAATAGCCCTATGTACAGGTCACGCGACTGACACGCGTAGTCTTACCGGCCCTACGATTGAAATCCGCGTCGGTACAGCGACTTCCGTACGCGATTCTGCCGACCTTTCTGTCAATTGGTTCCTACCCAAGCGCTTGATCTCGCACCACTCGCCTTTCCTTGCGGCTGCTTCTAACCGGGACTTCAAGGAACGTCGCGAGAACCTGATACAGCTCCCGGACGACAAACCCACCGTCTTTGCGTTGTTCGTTGAATGGCTGTACTACGGAGATTACACTCCTGAACCACCGTTAGCGGTCCCTCACAGTAAAACCGTTGGTGTCAGTATTGACGCTGAGTGCTGGGTCCTTGGCGATAAGCTATTGTGCACCGACTTCAAGAACCACGCTATGAAGCGTCTCTATAAAGCGTCTCTATGAACAACATACAACCAAGATCTTCAGCAGGTCCATATCGACGCACGATGTGCAGTTCGCGTGTGACAACAGTACGAAAGACTCGAAGCTTCGAGAACTGTATGTAAGCTTGACTGCTACAAACTTTGGGAGACAACATTGCGTTCAAGGAACCGTGGAGGAATGGGACGAGCTTATCTTAAACCAGTCCGATTTGAGGCGGCTACTGTTGCAGAGTCTGCGTTTAGGCGCTGCTGAGCAGAACCTTGTCAAAAGCGAGGAGTACTATCTAGAAGACGGTACTGCTCCTTTCTCATCAAGCGATACTTCTTCTTCCCCTTCTCAGTGTGTCCATCGACCAAGTAAGTTACATGCTTAACGGCAGAGCGCTGGAACACTAGATTGGAGCAGGCTAAACTATTTAGAAAAACAAGCACCGACGCGCGACATTAGTTGATTGTTACAAGCAACAGAAGGAATCTCTCCTTGGAAAAAAAGGGAAGGTTGACAGCGAACAACGTCTACGTCGGACGGTTGTGATCACCGCGGGGGCGACGATCACGTGCCCAGTTGGTCTCGGGTCTTCAGGAAGAACGATGGTTATTTCATGAGGACCGTGAGGACAGGCCATGATACAATGAGTACAAGAATGAGTTGAGCTCCATGATTACACTCGCTGTGGTCAACTCAAATAGATTCTTTTCTTGCACAAATTGGTACCCAATTATTCTATCGAATATAGGATTGGGTTGTCTTTATTATTGTTTAACATGGATAACTTCTTTCCACTACAAATCGCTAGACGAACCGCACGGCTTACTGCGTTCAGCTACCTCGCCTTAGTAGGGACCGAGCTTCGGCAAGTATACCCTAACCCTATGTAAAAATCTGTGACTGCTCCGCCCGCGAGATCGTAACACCTGACACAGCTTTTCCGTCGACTTCGTGTGACCGTCTCCAATTCCAATCTGCTAGGCTATGCCTCTGCTGTCGGATTCTTCACGCCAAGCGCAGCAAGCTGCCTCACAAGTGCATCGATCCGTGCTACCTTCGCCTCCTCCACAATCCGAAACTCAGTCTTAGTCTTGATCGATATAGCGAAAGATCAAGCGCGCAGACCCTCTTAGCCAACGCGGTTGACGGAATCGATCGACATGCCGAGCAGAGATGATACAATGTCACGCGCTGAACTGAAGGGCTCGAAGTGGATGATATAATCAACGATCTTGCCAGTTGTGAGGCCGTTTGAATGCGTGGGGCAAAACCCCGGTGCGATTCCAGTGCGATTCTAGCTGCAGTTCTGGATGGTATCGCTCTGGTCAGCGAAGCTCTTTGAGTGATTCAAGTCGTGGACAGGCCGAAGGTTACTCACACGTTCCGAAACCGAACTCTCGTTTCATCGTTTCCCAACGTCAGCTCCAGCACCTTGGTGTGCACGCGATTATTCTATTGGATTGGATGGTCACGATTCACCGAACAGCGAAACGACATCCTGTATGATCCGTAGTTCCTATGGCAGCTAGTCCACTGACCTCTCGTCCGATGTTTCGGACTGGCACTGCTTCACTCTGCCCAGGTCCGCGTCCACCAGCCGTTGTTTGAGTCTCGTAGATATCACAAGGCCGTCGCCAACGTCAGTCAGCTTTCCCAAGAGCGAGAGCCCGTTTTTATCGACCTGCTCCCGTTTCGAAGCAGTTGTATCCACTGAACGTGTGTGTGTCTCCCGATCCCTGACATCCCATAAAGAGGTAATCTTCTTAGGGCTGGACGTACGGGTAGAACATTGCGACTGGTTTGCGATCGTGCAGGCCAACGGACATGGGGGTCATCGTCGTCTTCGATGGACTCGTTAGCGAGAACCCATTCGTACGAACAGTAGGAACGGAGTCTACCGCGTGCGAAGTAGTCTAGGCGAGACGTCGTATCGTCGATATTGTCGCGCGACTACATGTCGTCATGCAATCAGCGCCGACTGTTCGATGGCGGGCGCGTGCGCATGCGCTTCCTTCCAATACCCATTGGGGGAGGGCATGGACATATTCTGGTCGGTCGCCGCCAGCTTGCCTAGCATAACACTGCGTGTCTTCTTTCGCGGGTGCGGACTTTCGCAACTGTCAGGCCGCCGTCGCTTGCCGGTGTGCAAGGAAGAGGAACATGGTCGAGTGCGGGCGCAAGGTTTCCGTTCCGACAACCAGACGACAAACGAGTTGGAATGCATTGAGAGTAGGAAAGTAGAAGGACAGGATAGTTCGACCTCTAGCTCATGTTGTTGTAGTAGTCCACGCTTCCTTTGGTTCGGCGGGGCAACCATAGATTGGTGTACAGCACCGACCCACCGACTCGCTGACCCTCCTCTAAATACATTCTCTCATGCAGCATACATACTTCTTCCAACTCATTCGATACTCTTTCAAAGACTTATTGAGAAAAGATTGATCGAAATGGTGAGAGGAAGACTCTTTCGAAATGATCATCTCGTAGAGCATGATCGAGCAGAGAAAAGATTTGAGATGGCACATCACTTGACCCCTAGCCTCGCGGTGATTGCTGCATTCTTAAGGGGTCGTGGTTGGCCTTCAACCCCTTCATCTCCAGTCAAGGAGAGAATCCTTTGTATCGCCAGTAATATTGCAGCCCTGTGTTAAGGCGGCAGGGCTAGCACAGACCAGTACGAAACGGGCGAACCAATGAAAGCCCGAAAGCTTGCGACGAGGACTGGGTGGACTTGGCCAAGAATGTCGTATGTTAGAGATGTTGGGTTTACTGCGCATCTAGCTTCTGGGAGCATACGATGGACGGGGGACCCACGCTCGACCCAAAACGCGCAAAGCAGAGGTAGAAGGACACTAGACTGCAAGTCGTCGTCTACAACAGCAAAGAACCCGCACCTAATCCACGTTACATGCAAGCATCTTTGGGTCAGGGTGCAGGATTACCTGAATGGATAGAATTAGGGGTCGGTACCTCGGGGCATCTTCTACCAGGGCTCCAAGCTTGGATCTATTGGCACTATTGTCAAAAGGACTTAACGAAACTGGAATTAGTAAATGTGACATTTCTTGTACCCAGTGAACACACAACGCGCGGCTACCAAAACTGTTGCGTAAACGATGTTCCTAGACTGCTAGTACAGACCGTCCACCGTCGCTCGTAAGCCTCTTCCTGATCCGAACATCGATCATCCTGCTTGTGCCCATGACTAATCTGTCGTACTTATCAAGACCAAGTACGGCGCTAGGCGAGTAAATGATCGCTCTTCCAGTCCTCAAGCTTTCGATCCTTTGCATGACATCGTCACAGCTCTCATCCATGAGGGGGATATGACGTCTGATAGCCGAGAACCATTCTGGGCTAGAGAAGCGATGGATGACTGTAACGGAACAAAGGGCAATGAGGTCGGTTAAAAGGGTGGGTTCTTGTGTGGAGATGATAACACGGGCGCCGTGGTGTCGCTGAAGGCGGATGGTCTGGAGAATCGTTTCATTCAACGACTTTGCCCCAGGTATCTTGAGCATGTACTAATTGGCGTTAGTGAAGAGAACAGGCTGTGAAAAAGTTCACCGTGTAGTACCTTGTGCGCCTCGTCTAATACGATCATCTTACCGGTGCTTTCAGACTGAAGGTATTGCCGAAGTCCGATCTCGAAAAGGATACACGCCGTGTTGGCATCGACAAAGGGGCAAGACATGTCCATAATTGTTATCTCACCAGGCAAAAATTGTGGTTCAGAGCAGATATTCTTCAAGTCCAAGAACGACTCAAGTAAACTGAGACGCATCTGCAGCATGGTAGTTTGCGTAGGATTGAACTCCTGCTTTTTCAGATGTAGCTTGAACACTTTGTAGTCGAACGGCCCGCCTGCTGTCGACATCTCCCGGAGTATATGCGTGACTTGCGCCATATAGAGAGGTGTTTCTTCCGATTCACTGATGTTCATCAATGTAAGCATCGTTGTAATGTCGAGGTTGCGAGGCTTTATCCTGAACGGGGTGACCGAAACGTTGGGAAGCCGTAGATATAGCTTCGAGATACGCACGTAGTTCGACGGCGAGACCAAGACATGGATTTTCTTGACGTGTGCTGCAACGGGTAATCCAGGTTTGGGGGAACCCAAGAACGCGGCTTCGCTGATGCTGAAACCAGTGCCGTCACCACTGAAGTGACCGTAACTGAACACAAGCGCAGAGAGTGGGTTCCTGAGATGTCCAAGATATGCAGAGGGCAGTAGAGAGTTCTCGAGAATGCACGACGTCGTATGGGACTTGCCGCTTCCCTGAACTCCGCAAAGGAACATGGAGAACGGAACGTTTGTGTTCAGGAAGAGCTTAGAGCCGGCACCCCTATCTCCGCCATGCGATCCTATCAGTCCGTACTGTGGAAGAAGATCTTGAGCACCTTGAGCGATAATGCTTGTATCTACCAAGGGTGCATGCCGAATTTGGTTGGTCTTTTCATTGCTTTCGGTTTCGCCGGTGACATCGTCTTCACTGTCGTCTGATAGAAGGCGGTCTGTGTCATTCACATCACTGTGAATGCATGTCATGCTATCTTCGTCGGAGTTTTCACGCCGATTCACTGTAAAGATATCAGACAAGCCGGTACTAGAAGAATCGTAATCCTTGGTGCTGGCGGAAAATAACTTATATTTGGCTGCTGCCGGACCTCGAGCAGAAATGAGCTGCGAGCCACGGGACATACCTGGAAGGGCCGATTTTGGCTTCACTCTTTCAACACTAGTCACTTTCCCACTCGGCTGCGAGCGCAGAACATTTTTGTCCTTGGCTGCCACAACGTCTGTTGAGACTTCATCCTTATGCGCCTTCACTAGACTATACGGATGCTCTAAGGAAAGAAGCCTGCTTGGAATCAGTCATTGAATGGCTGCGTAGAATGTTTCTAATCTGATATTGATGTCCAAAAGTCTTCGCAGTGAGACAACATACCAGCTGACTGATACTCATCGGAGTACCTAAGCCAAGACAGAATACCAAGAATCAACATCTATTGCGGAATATGCTTACTGGCGTATTGCCTGGCGGATACTTGTTCTCGATAGCCCCGTGTCTATAGCAAATAAATGCTCCCTCAGCCCTGCCAAACTCTTGGACGTCCCATTGTATTTGAAGCCCTTCTGACAATAGTGCCAATGGATCCAAGCTTCGAGCCCTGCTTGCGTAGAGATGTCGAAACTTGCGTTGTTCGTACTGTGTTCGAAAGGCGATGCGGTGCAGCTCGCCGTCAGTCGCTGTTCTGCCATGGAGTGATCAACGCTGTATTCGTGAAGTGATCCTTGACTGGTGGCATAAGAATTTAAATTTCAACCATCAAGGAATAAGGTTGGTCAGAAGACTGGTTTTACTTCTAGGGCCATCTAGGTATTGCATGGAAAAAGAAAAAATGACGCTTTGCTCAAGGTCCATACACTAGCCGTGTCATAGTGGGGTCTGAATTGCTTAGTACCCCATCTTGCTGCGTTGATTTCTTCTACGCATCGACGGTAGCTGACGTACGTCTTGAATACATCGTGTTCATTGTCTTAGTCCCTGTCGCATAGGTATTCCAGCTACGCTTTGTACCTTTTTTTGACACCTCTAGGGCGTGTATGACCCCTGAAACCCGTAGGGAAACATGGGCTGGACTTCACATTGTACATATCCCCTACAGATACTGTAAGTCTTATCTCAGGGTCTCTACACCGATGGCGCGTGGCCTGCATCTCAGTCACTCCTCTAAGCCACATCGCCACTGTGGGTATTTCAAGAATTTTGAGGCTGACCATAGTAGAGGAGCTTGGATATTTGTGTGAGCGATGTCTGCGAATGAGCTGGATGGTGCATGATCAAGGATCAACACGACATGTGTTGACGTACGCGTGCGAAAAACTGTCGTGTGACCGTGGCTTCCCATGGTACTCCAATAGCATAGTAGCAAATATGCTGCCAAAAACTCAATTTCGCTTCGTCCCAGCACCTAGAAATCTCAACAAAAACGACCCAACCATTCAGAACAAGGATAGTGGGTTTCGATACTCGACATTGTATCTGAAGTCACGAGTTCTTCTGACAAGGTTTTCAAGTAGTAAAGCTGGGTATACGCAGTGAACTAACCTTAAATTTGAATAGCGGTCTTCACCATCAAGATGTGCATTCTGCCAAGCCCACACATTTTTCAATCTCCTATCACAATGTCTCAGCCGCCCCATCTTGATTGCTTTTCACTGAAGATAAGGTTATTCAAGCTATCTGGGCTACTGAATGTAACGCGCTACTTACTCAGCGGCGAATTGCACACACCTTAAACATACATGAAAGCATTCTTCGCGACCAATGCGCTGCAATGCTGCACGCACCTATGCTTTGCTACATACAAGAATTAGCCGACGAACTGCTAGCTGCACGTAGTGGTGGTCAGGTTAGAGAACACTAGGTTTACAGGCTCTTATGTCGGAGTTCTGAGATAAAATCTCATGTTACTAGACCGCGAGATCACCAGAGGGTCCTTTGCAGTAGCCTAGCGATAATTAGCCCCTAATTCAACCTGGTACGCAATTTCAAAGCCGGATGCGGTCTCTCAGACGAAAGAACTTTCAACTCCGACGAGATAGATTTCCAGATAGGCGTTACAGGGTATGTCGAGGTAGTAACAGCATCTGAGAGGCGCACTAGGGCACTCGGAGCTCAGCCTGGCAACTATGATCACTTGTATCAATGCTATGGTGTGATCTATTTCACCCTTCCTTATCCTCAAAACAAAGCACCCCGACCAGGCTTGGTGTCACAAGAACCTAAGGGGTCGAAGGATAGGTGTTGGTAACCACGATTGGACAACGAAGGAGCTTGGTCTTGCCTGGTAGCAGCGTCTCAGCCAGGATACAGAGGCTCTCACTGTGGATAGTCACCGCCTGCTTATCATCGACGGTCACGAGAGCCAACAGTCGCTTGCTTTCCAGGATCTGTGTTAGGATGACAGAATTCTCGCTCACCATGTGTCTCCACATTCGTCACGTATTCTGCAGCCGCTTGATGTGGGCTACTTTGCCCCGCTGAAGCAGGCGTACAAGAAGGAACTCAGAGGATTGGCAGACAGCTACATCCACCACATCAATTAAGAAGCTTTTATCGCCACCTCTGCGTCAGTTGTCGATAGAGCATCCTTGAAGTGTAACATCTTGCCAAGCTTCAAGGCAACTGATTTAGTCTCACATCACCCAGAAGTGATGTTATCTAAGCTTGACGTAGAGCCTCGTACGCCAACGCCACTTACACTAGGTTCTATCCCCTGGCTACCTAAGACATCAAGTGACGCCTGGGGATGGAGGCTCAAACTACGCTCATTATGAAGAGAATGAGAAACCACAAGAGCTCAACACCTGATTCTAGCATCGAGATGGTGTTGCAGGTCGATAAAGAATTTGCTTCGAGGGCGCACTCACATGTAGTGGAAGCATTGATAACTGTAAGCAGGGGGGCAATAATGATATATTGTCTCGTGTATGAGTGTATTGTTGTTGTGTGTATGTACAAGTATGTGATCTGAGCTCTTGAGTAAACGGACGCATTAGTCATGCCTGCAGAGCAGTCATGTGATGTTGTCGTAGGCTTACAAGAGTGCTTGCTCGAGCCTCCTCCAACGTGATCGAGGGTGGCCACGGGGCACCGGTTCTTCGAAGAGGGGCTCAAGAAGCAATGAAAGGGACTATCAAATGAGAAGCAAGTACACTGTAGTAACTAGTATGCGCTGTGTAAGCTGCAATGTGCATGCCAGCGTTCTTGTGTTACACGGGGTTAGGCTATACTTCTCTAGGCTCGGTCCGTACTAAGGCGAGGTAGACTAAAGCGGTAGTCCGTGAGGTATCGTATGGAATGATCAGGTGGAAAAGAGTTATCGTTGTAACCAA